TTCTTCGAAAAGCACCTCGCTCGCCATCCCATCATCATCATCATCATCATCATCATCATCATCATCATCATCATCATCATCATCATCATCATCATTATCATCATCATCATCACCTATCTGCTAACAACACCAACAACAAGAATATTCCAAACGATAACAGCAGCTTCAATTAGAAAAAAGAGATAATTCCAAGCTAGGAAAGAGAGGAACAAAAAATAGTGAAAAAATATACACTACGAAAAATTATTTGTGTTCATTTTGATTAGACAGCTTTGCAAGTCTTTGAAAATATGTCAGTTTTGTGCTGCATATCTCTCCAAACCAGCGTTGAGCGTCAACAAACTAGAAGAAAACTCATCACTATTGCCTTTGCCTCCAACATATTATTCTAGCTATATTTACATCACATCTTCCTAGCAGCTCTGCATCATTGTCCAAACTTGAAACTATAAACTAAAATACCAGACAAAACATTTCCTTACTTCTTTTTTTTATTATTTTTTTTTTAGCTCGGTTCAGTCTCTACATTTAACTAGATTTGGGGATGTTATAGGACCAATGATACTTGAAATATAACGAATTATTCTCAATCATAAGTCTATCGTTATTCTCACAAGTGACTTTAATTATATGATTTCTTAATAATATAATATTGTTCAACAATTTTATAAAGTTTGACTCCCGTATCGCCAGCATTTTTGGAGTAGTAATCTGGGACTTTGTCAATCGCAAGCAGCAGAAGGCGTGCCAGTTGAATTGCAGAATGGGGAAATATTAAAATTTATTCTTGTAGCTCCGTCTTTCTGGTTGGACGTTGTATTCCTCCCAGACCTGGTCGGCCCAGGAAGGCAGGGTCGAAGCACCCCGTCCTCTAAATGATCTAAATCCTGAAATTTATCCAACATGACGTCACAGACCTGCCACTCACATTAGAAACTTGAAAAGACCTCCCAAAGAGAATATTTACCAACATTTTATTAACCACCTAACCTAATTTCGTACCAACAAATGCTCGAAGGAAAGAAATGAGCTAACAACAAATTAATACATCCCATAAACTGCTCACCCCTTCACCTACTCCATCAAACAACCAATCAGCTCTACCTAGAAAGTAAAGGACAAAGTGGAAAGAAAAACTCAACCAAACAACCTATCAACTGACTAACCCACCCACCCACCCCACTTCCCACCAACAAACCAACCAACCAATTAAACAACAAAACTACCGATCAACCAAAAAATAGAATCTACCAATCAATCTACCACAGTGGACCAAACAACGAACTAGCCTATATATTGACAAATCAACTAACCCACCAAACAACTACTCCACCCACCAACTAACCAGTCACCTAACCCATGAACATTTCAACTGATCAACAAACCAACCCACTAGCTAAACAAACCAACCAACCACCCAACCCACAGCTCAACTAATCCACCAACCAAAGCTCAGTTGAAATCGTGCTGGACTGCAAAAGGGATGATGGCCTTGGTTGGAATCCACGACGGAGCGTTCTGAATCTGGGTTGTTTACGCTAAGCTTATGAATATAAGATTCTCCATTCATCTCGCTCGGTCCTATCGGAAATGGACGTTAAATTTGGAGTTCGTGCCTCTTCAATGACCTTACAAATTTGAAATGGGCGTTAAACTTATACAACGACCAATGGTCACCAAACAACAAGGGCGCCAATTAACTCTTTGTCGACGTATCAGATACATACGTCTGATCAACAGCATACCAGAGTCAATAATGCTGCTCATTTCCAACGATTATACACACATCAGAAATACAAATTTACATATTTCATACCATGCATATTGTTGCCTGCCTTTTTATGTTTCAGATAAAGAAATGTCTCAACGAATATAAGGAAGTTATGCTTTTTTTAAAGTACCAAAACAACAAGTCTTCAAAGGCGCAGAACACGCGTCCTCAATGAGTTAACCAAGCGCCACCCAAAATCTAACACACACACACACTTACACACACACACACACACACACACACACACACACACACACTTGATATGAACCAACCACACACGAAAGTCCATGCCGTGTTAACTCCAGCCTGTTTCGACCCCACCCACAGAGTGCCATGGAACTAACGTTGGCTTCGGCTACTCGGGAACGCTGGAGCTACACTACCAGCACCTCAAGAGACGCTACGCTGGCTGCACCTACATCATCGGCAACTTGGAGATCACAAACCTTGTGGATCCCAAAATTGACTACGACCTTAGTTTCTTGAGGGTGAGTACAAAGTGCAAGCTCAAGATTATAGTAATATTATAGGTCTGTTTGCTGGGTGGGGTGAGTCATTGATACTCTCTCTCTCTCTCTCTCTCTCTCTCTCTCTCTCTCTCTCTCTCTCTCTCTCTCTCTCTCTCTCTCTCTCTCTCTCTCTTGAGGCGGGACTTGGGGAGGGGGGAACGTCTTTTTTTGCTTGAAATGAAATACCAAATAGCTACACGAAAAAGAATGCATCATTTA